TCAGTGGATACGTATATTAAGCTGATGAATTTTACTCTACATTTATGTAGAGTTAGTAATAAATGTTTCGTACAACGTGCTATCAAACTGTGTGGTTAAATATTTAAACACAAGCACACGGAAGGCCTTAAATAATAGTCTAGACGACCTAGCACACTGCCTAGTACAGAAATAGAATATCGATCCTCTACTAAATGCCACTTTCAGCTGAACTTAAAATGCTCGTCGTTTTCACATACATACGATTTGTACTAGAAATAAAATGAACTAATTTTGTACATTGATTTATTGGGAAACAGCAACTGGGTTTTCATTGTCTATATACGTGTATAAAAACGTGTAAACAGTATCACTGTTTTTTTTTTAATAAATAGTCAAAACTATATTAATTATTATGTATCAGCAATATATTAATAAAGTGCGTTTAATCATTAAAACAAATCTACTTGAAATATTTGTTTTTTCTATCATCATCAGCTCACTATACGTCTTCACCGAGGGGCTCGGAGCCTACCCTAAGTTAAGGGCGATTAGGATATAGTCAACCACGCTGGTTTATTATTCTATAAAACGACATAACTCATTAAGTACTGCTGGTCTGATTTTAAAACTACATTTTCAATTAGTAGCAGTTTATGCCCGGATTATGTCGCAGGCATAAACTGCGATTGCAAATGTCTAGGATAGCGGTCGCCTCGCCTCGCCATTTCGGCGAACTAAGAATGCTGCATGCTCCTTTTCCAAGGTATAAAAGTTTAAAAAAGCTTCTTAAAACACAGTAGTCTAGCGTTGGTAGTCTATAATAGTTAATCTACCTTCTCTCGAGGAAACTTTGCTATTGCCAGGCATTTATCGTTAATGGTAAGTATTAGCTATTAGTACCGACTGCTTCTAGATATTGGATCGTTTAGCTAATTTGTGCTCGTAGAATCCCACCTAGCAATTTATTCTATTGCCCATGTAACAGTTCTTAGTTTGAAAAAGCTTAAGAAAAATAACTTCGAAATGAATGTTACGAAAAGTTTTTAGTTAACTCTTAATTCAACGAAATTTTTTGTAGCAAAAAAACTGTTTTTTTTTCAGTAAAATAATATTTTTGGATATGAAATAAGTACAGGAAAAATGCTAAAAAAAATAGTTGTTCGTCACACTGGACAACATCGAATCAAGGGAATTAAAAAAAACTTAATTAGTAACCTATTATAAGTGTTTTTCCAGACTACGTTCTACATCTATGCCAAATTGTAGTTAGGTCTGTTTAGCCTTTCTCTATCTTCAGAAACAAACATCCATTCATCCATTTAAACTTTCGCATTTATAATATTAGTAAGAAATAAGATATGTTTATACCGTAGATATGCCCGGAGGCCTAATTTAGTCCTCTTTCCCTTCCCACTCTTTTTCTCATAAGGAAAGGATGGGATGTGTAAGTGGACTTTCCGGATGAGAGGATGCATAGAAAGTGAAAATATTTTCTTACTTACATCTGCTCCTCCGTCGATTAAAGGTAGGCAACGCATACGCGATTGCGTATATCTATGGGCAACAGTCACTCCGCTATTTCAGCGATTACAGGTGATCTCTTGCTCGTTTGCCACCTTATGATATAAAAAAATATGTTTTTCACACATTTGTAAGTAAAGAGAAGATTGAAAAGGCATTATTTTAAAAATTTCTGCATTTATTCTGAATATTATATAAGAGATTTTATTTCAGTACGTGACATTTATATGTACAGAATCCAGATCCTTGAATTATTTATCGAATGCCTCGTATGTCGCGTTTGTATATTTAATCTAGTTAGGCATTCGCAGAGCATACGTGTTTGCAGTATGCAAAATGTAGTTGCAATTTGTGCTATATTGCAGGAGACTATTGTTTTCATAAGTTTGCAATGCGGGAATACTTATGCATAAAATATAATTTTCACCTAAATTTTGTTTTAAGGAGAATAAATATATCTTTGCGTATATATTAAGATTCTTTTGTAGTAGTATCTGTTATTTGTACTTTTATGAATTATGTTTAGTTCATCAAAGTCGAATGTATATATCTTATATATAAAATTCTCGTGTTACAATTTTCCTTCCCATGCTCCTCCGAAACGGCTTGACCGATTCTCATGAAATTATTTGAGCATATTGAGTAGGTCTGAGAATCGACCAACATTAATCCCGCGCGGACGGAGTCGCTGGCGACAGCTAGTAGATATAAATAATTTTGATATAGTTAAGATTATTCTCGTAGCAAAAAGATTTTTATAAAAGTAAATTTTCTTCAGTTTTTTTGCATTAAAATTCATTCAAAGCCGAGCTAAAGGTATTTGAATTTGTTTCGACTATTATTGTCGAAACATTTTGAAGATTTTAATTCTAATTGAGAAGACATTTCAATATTTGTTATAAGTAACGGTTTGCTTTCAAATTTAAAACGCTATAATATAGTTCATTATCTCTTGCTTGACAATGTCAAGTGGCACAAAATTCTTATCGAAGTATGTCTAATCGTGGGTTTCCGAGGCCAAAATCCCCGTTTAAGAACAGTGTTATCTCGGTTTTGTTAAAGATAATGAAAGGGATTACGATATGTTTTATACAGACATTTTGTTCTCAGAAACCAACGATAAGACTTATGTATATTTTTAAATGCCTAGTTAGAAACAGCGCCATCGCTTTAAACTATAGCTAGGTGGCACAGGTCAGATATCATAACGCGAAAGCAGATGTCCGCAATGGTACGGCAATCGATACTTTCGCGTGTGTGTGTTCATGTTGATGTGGGCGTCGGGGGACGAATTAATAAAACGTAGGAGCAGAGCGCGTTTTGTTATTGCAATTTATTATGCTTCAATATCGTGTTTCCACTACCGAAACATCTAGCCAAATATGTAAAACTGACCTGTAGAAATGGATAGGCGATTGCTTTGAAATGATAGCTTTTGCTTTGTTTCGAATTCAATGCGCTTGTGAATTTATTGTGGCAGTTAATCCTATCTACAATATTAGTTCGAATCTATACTACGGCTACAAATCCCTACTATCAGCGCCATGATGGCGAAAATCAAATAGTCACAAACTATTATGTCTTATAGCCAGTCTTTTTTTATATCATAAGGTAGCAAACGACCGAGCGGCCACCTGAGATAGCGAAGTGACCGTTGCCCATAGACATACGCAATTGCATATGCGTTGCCTACCTTTAATCGACGGCGGAGAGGATGCACAGAAAGAAAATATTTTCCCTTTCCATGCATCCTCTCATCCGGAAAGTCCACTTCCTCTTCCCATCCTTACCTTATAAGAAAGGGGTGGGAAGGGAAAGAGGACTAAATTAGGCCTCCGGGACGCACACTCATCAGACGAAACGCGGAATTGCTTCCACTTCACGCCTGTTTTCTGTGTTGTGGTGATATTTCACCGGGTGAGCAGGGCCGATTCGTGCGAAGATGTTAAAGCGGGTTCTACCACTCTTATGTCTATTTATAAAAGTCGGTCGATCGGATGTAATACTGATGTGCTTTAAGTGAGATGCAACTGAGGTGAATATGACTCTATAAATATTCGAAATATCTATATAAACTCTTCAATTACATCGCATACTAAATCTTCGAAAACATTCTAACGAATTCCATATCCGATCCATTATCGCCTTACAAAGTTCTTCTCCCTATTTTTTTTATCGCCACTTAATATTTATAAGGTCGTTATCATTCGTAATTTCGTTCAGAGTTGGCCGTAGGAAATTTAGTTTACCCAATTCTGATTCCCTAATGTAATATAAATATATATATTCAATTTCAGTGTTAACTTAACAGTTATTTTTGGATTGTATTTATTTGTAGAACTACTCATTTATTTTTTTAAAATAGTTTCAAATTAGTACTTAGTTTAAGTAATGGAGGACACATTTTTTGAGACCTAAATTAGATGATTCCAATTCCAATTCGTTAATACTCTTTAAATCCAAAATTGTAAATTAATATTATGAATATATATCTGGTATATCAACAGTGTTAGAGAAATTGAAGGATACGTTAGAAAAGTTTGAAGTATTTATGAAAATTCACATTTCATAAAAAAATCGAATAATACATTTTGTAGATATATAGACGCTGGTTTATTAGGCGATAAACCAAAACGACTTTCCTTATTTTATCAAAGTCTTAAAAATTAAAAATTTAAATTAACCGTTTTACTTGTAAGTACGAACAAAGAAACTAACAACTGGGATAAAAAAAAATACCGCATGAAACCTTAATTTACTACCGTTCTGTTCTTTATTTCCCATGTGACTAAAGTATAAGGAAGTAAATAGATTCTTTGTATTGTTACTAAGATCTATTTATTCTTTTAAGTGTATTGATAATTATTTTAAAAAATGGACATATTTTATCCAAATAAGAAAAGACAAAGGAATTACGTTAAGGAACAACATTCAGATCTCTACCAAAATTCTCTTTACAACTTTACGTTTATTTACGTTGTATGCAGACATACATAATTTAAATAAATAATGTTTATGGATTTAATAAAGCTAACAGACATAAGATTTTAACTTTTGGATAGGTTCCCCTAATAGATTGGTATAGATTGAAGTTTAGAAAAAATGTAAACCCATTTTAAATTCATAAATTCTTTGTCTCGTTTAAACTTAAAATACTTCCCGATGCGTATCTGTAAACCTACAAATGTGTACTTATAATAAATATTGTATGATTCCATTTTCTTCGTTCGATGAGAGCTTGAAGTAAATTCTATCAAAAGGTAATTCTTGATAGGATAGTTTCAAAATAAGTGCGTCATAAAATGTTGATCGTACTTGTTGAATTACATTGCGCGCAACAGTTTTACAAATGTATAAATTGTTTAATAAATAAAATAATTGTAATAAATAAACATAAAATAAAAAAAATGTGGTAATTAATGCATATTAAAAAGGCGTAATAATTTTCAAAGAATAAATATTAATGCAGAGAAAATAAGTTTGTAAATTTAACATACCTGTTAATTGGTGGTATTGGAGCTGCAAAATCTTTCACAATTATTTTTTTTTATTTAAAATAAAACTGTGATGTAGAATTGACGCGTCTTGCCCCGGTGGTCGGCCCAGCGACACTGCGGGGCGGTTGGAGCGACTACCCTTACCTGTTACTTTCCACCCCTCGTTGGGGTTGGGGAGGGTAACAGGGTGTCGTTTTATCACCCAGATCGGAACAGACGTAACATTGTGATTTTAACTATTGCTATAATCTAGTATTGAAAGTATTTCTCGTTTTATTTTTGTTGAATTGTATTTTGTTGTAGAGTTTTATACTAACCAATGTTTTCGTACTAACAATTTATAATATAATTTGGTATTATATGAACTTTCTAATTTCACGAAAGAATAGATAGAAAAATAAACATTCTTTTTTATGTTCTTATAATACTTCCCCCCCCCATTTTTTCCATGAACGAGAAGACTATGGTAGAGACTCCACCCTCTACCATAGCCTACTTTTACTTTATCTGTGGTCGTGGTATTTTACCAATCGGCAGTTCTTAATTTAGACTACTATTGGTTAAAACCCGCTATTATGTATTGTCTGTTTTCTAATTATATTAAAATTAACTAACATACTAACGACTAAGTAAACCTTTCTCTACCTTTTAACACTGTTTAATAAAATTTTCCCAGATTGAAGTACTTTAAGGTAATTTTGTATACGAAGTAAGACACAGTTTTCCTTTATATGCAAACAAAAATATACCTAAAGCCAGAGTAATAAAGTCGAAAATGATTTAAATCTTTTTTACAAGTAAGTTGTTAGCTGACTCGAAAGATGTTCTTTTATGAAGACTTCTTACTCGTGTTGAATAAAGTTAACATATTTCATTATGATTTATGACACGTGGCCCGTAATTTGTGCGACCGCATTTTAAATTAACAAAGGTCAACGAAAGATCTACGAGAAGTCTACGGTAGGTCTATGATTTAGGAGAGAAAATTTTATACAGTATTCAGTAATCAAGTTAAATTTTAATAAGTTTTTAGCTTGAATATGACCAAGTTCATTACTACGTAGCTTATACGTAGCAGATAATTGCTACGCAATTATAAGCTACGCAACTATAAGCTACGTAGTTAAACTAGGTTAATAATAAGATAAAATACTTTGATGTTATTCAAATTTGAACGTTTACTAAAGTAGTAATTAAATGTTATATTAGTTGAAATATACTTTAATTTATAGTAATATTTATATGAATATAGCAACAATGGTCACGGGTTTTATATACTCATTTATTTTAAATTTAATTTTTATATGCATAACCTTACCAATATTATAAATGAGATGGATGTTTCTTTAAAGGTATGTCTAGAACGGCTGCATGGATCTCGCTGAACTTTCATAGATGTAGAACATAGCCTGAAAGAACACATACGCTACTAATTAAATTTAACGGTGGTAGAGCCCGCTTTAACATCTTCGCACGAATTGGCCCAGCTCGCTCGGTGAAATACCACGACCACACAGAAGACAAGCGTCAAGTGGAAGTAATTTAAGTAAGGCCCAATTTAGTCCTCTTTCCCTTCCCACCCTTTTTCTCCTAAGGAAAGGATGGGAAGAGAAAATGGACTTTCCGAATGAGAGGATGCATAGAAGGGGAAAATATTTTCTTTCTGTGCATCCTCTCCTCCGTCGATTATAGGTAGGCAACGCATATGCAATTGCGTATGTCTATGGGCAACGGTCACTTCACTATTTCAGCGATTTCAGATGGCCGCTCGCTCGTTTGTCACCTTATGATAAAAAAAGAAAAAAAATATTTTTATTCCGCGCGAACAGAGTAGTGAGTGACAGTAGGTATGTACAGTGTATAGTATTTGGAATTCACTCATTAATGTCCTTAAAACGTAACATATAAGACCAGGAATTCGTATAAAAAAGAATTTACATGCGTCACTATAATAAGAACTGACGTAGTATTGTAGTGTAGGCGTTTAATCGATACGTATGTCCCGAGCTTCCAAGTACTAATTAGTTATTCACGTCGAGTCACTCTACACGGGTCATTGTAAAAATAGATTTTTTGGCTTTTTACGTTAGTATTATACGACGTGTTTGACAGACGGTTTTATGGATGGTAATATGTTATTTGAAAATTGTGGATTACTATCACTACATCTGACTATAATAATATTATAAATGTGAATATTTAGATGGATGTTTGTTTAAAGGTATCTCCAGAACGGCTGAATAGTTCTCACTAAAATTTGATGGAAATGTAGAGCACAGTCTGGAAGAACACATAGGCTATTAATTAAGGTTTTTTATTTTTAACTCCGGGCGATCGCATTCACGGGCAACAGCTTGTAAATCATAAATTTAAAGCAGTATGGAAATGTAAGTAATTGTTATTCTACTAAAATATATTTAGATCCTCTTTTGTTATTGTATGTATTACAAATGGATGTGAATAACTGATATTTAAAATATTTATTTATATTTGAACTAAAGTTTTCCATTACGTAAATTAATTCTGTTAAAAAAAATATATTGTAATTGTGGAAAAAATCTTATTGTATCTTATACTGTCTGGAAAGTTTTATTTAAGTTACAATCATAGTTTCCCTTTTTAGGCAATTGAAAAGAATAAATAAAAAAGATAATGTTTTAACACGATATTTTATATAGTTGCAGTTAAATAAGGATACTCATAGACATTTAATAATTAAAATGTCTCTTTTGGAATGTAATCTAACATCTACATAGTGACTCCTACGACATTCATCGATAAAATCCTGGAACAGTAGGAATGTTTCTAGTCTGCGCGTAATAGGTTATGCAAATATCTGCGTTGGCGACGTAATTGGAATTTAGATACAACTTGATTGCCTCTTGTATATTATGATCTACTAAGGTATGGAGTTATTGATTGATTCTTTTCTCTTCTCTCTCCTTTTTTCTACAATACTATTTTAGAGTTTTAGAAGTTCGTAGTTGAATTGTCACGTTCTGAAGTTATGTAGAGTTCGCAAACCAGGTTTAAGGTTATGATATCAATCTACTAGTTGCGCGCGAATGCAACCGCGTGTGATCTTCCAGAATATGTTCTATATTTATGCCAAATTTCATTTATATCCGTTGAACCGTTCTGGAGATATCTTCAAAAAAACATCCATACAAACTTTCGCATTTATATTATTTATTATCCATTACTTCAGTTTCTTTTCTTCATTGATCCTTTATCACATGTTTGGTTATGTCTACAACTAGTGACGTACCTTATTCTTTGTCTGTTTGTCTTTCTATGTCCCCTCTTAATAAACGCTTTACTAAGATTGGTGCTAAAAATTTTAATAGGTTTTTAATTAGCAATATATCGACTTAATAAAATTTATGAAATGTTATGTTTATTATGGAGTAAACAGTGTTATCGTATTCAGCGTTTGATAAAAACTAAGTCAAAGAGATTAATTCGATTGTAAGAATATGATGAATTTTTCTATAACAGAAAATAGGTAATAGATAAAATTAATTTTAGTAGCATGTTTGATTAGTTATCTAAAATATTTGTAAACTGTATTCTTTTATTTTGTAAACAATCATTGTATTACTGCCGCTTAGTTCGTATTGTATTTAAAAGGCCCTGCGTACACAACATACTACTACTAATATTGCATACTTGCGTCACAAGCACAACGGTACTCGTGACGCAAGTATGCAATATTAGTCTCGAAGATTTAAGTTGCCTAGTGTATGAGATGAATATTTACTACCCTTTAATTATTTTGTAAAGGATATTTGTGAAATGGGAAAATAAAACAACTTTATAATAGTCGTCAAATATTTATCATTCGCCAACAACTAGCATTTACAACATAATTTAATATCACCGAACATTACAATACCGACTCTATAATTTTCAATTTAAAGTTCAATTTACAACTCCGTATGTGACGATGGGAATTTCTTTAGAACTGCGTGATAGAGGTTGTAGAAAGCGTAAACAGATACACTAAGAATAACAAAGAGGGAGCCACCGAAGACGAAAGAGAGGAAGTTCCCGTCTATCATTGTGGTTCCTTGGAGACTACGCGCGTGACCTTGAAATAGGTCTTTAGTACCGGATCCCGTCGCTTTTCTTTCTTCCATCATCTTTTTCATTGAAGTCAATCTCTCTTTTAATTCATCTATCGATTCCAACATGTCGTCGGACTCTGAAAATAAGATAGATAAAAAAATAAATTTATTAAGAAAAGATTTTCAGTGTGATATAATAAGGTAGTGTAGAAAATATAAATGTTTAAATTAATGTAATTCTAATAAACTGATATCAAAACGCCTAAACACTGACGTATTTTCGTCCAGTGGCGGCACTGACTAGTATCGAGCCCATCAGGGGCCCTTCATCTGGGTGAGTCGGTGCCGCCACCGGACGAATATACGTGAGTGTTTAGCCGTTTTTATATCAGTTTATCGAATGTCTCACGAAATATTTTATTAATGTTATCTAACATTATTAAAATATCAAGGTTAAATAATATGTTACCATGTAGAAGAGATTTTAATACATTTTCTATGCAATATGAAAATATATAATAGAAATTTTGTATATACTTAATTAAATCAGAATAATTCAATCTGACTTTAATTTAAAAAATAAATAAAGTAATTTAAAATGTAAATATAATTTATTAAATTCTATTTTAAATACTTATTAAAAATTAAAGCATTTAAATTAGTAGCTTTCAACATAAACGAAATAACGTTCACAGTTCAAAGCGCAGCGTTTAAGTTCAAAAGTTTCAAGTTAAGTCACTAACTTAATTTGATTCTCGTACGCTTAAAGTACTAAGTGTACGCCGTCTCTTAAATTACTGTACGCTATTTTAGTTTATGTTAGAAAATTTGGAAAGCATACTAGATGTTCCCCGCGACTCCGTCCGCGCGTAATTAAAAGAAATGAATTTGTAGTGTCCTTCCAGACTATGTTTTACATACATCCGTACAACATTAGCATTTATAATATTAGTAAGACCCTAGTATTTATTTGATAAAACATTTTATTTTGGTTATAAATGTCTAGTATTAGCGTAAATAAGAAAAATCATTATAAAAAAGAGAATCAATCAAAGGAAAAGAACTTGAACTTTGTACGATCCAATTTACAGACAAGTCAGTCAAAGTGTAAGAGGGTCTGCGACAAAGATTGGCGTGTCACAATACAGATTGCGAAATCCCCCCATTCCCCAACCCTCATTTAGTAACTGACGTTGATACCTGTCGTAGTTTATTAACAAGCGGTCGCCCGCGACTTCATCAGCGCTGAATAATTAAACATGAAAAAGTAGCCTATAATATTCTGGCAAACATTAGCTACCTGCCTATCAAAGACCCGTTGAAATAGCTCCAGCCGTTTCTAAAATAACCCCAAACGAATGCAGACAAATAGAAAAAATATAAAAAAATCCGTTCTTTGTATAGCAAATACAACATGTTCGTGAAAAATTTTTTTTTCGATATACCATACAGACTAAAATTTTATGAATTACTAGCTATCGCCCGTGACTAATTAGTAACCTATGTTCTTTTCAAGAGTATGTTCTACATCTATGCCAAATTTAAGCGAGATCCGTTCAGTCGTCCTGGAGATAACTTCTAACAAACATCCATCCATCTAAACATTTGCCTTTATAATATTAGTAAGAAGTAAGATATACGAAAAATTATACAAAAAACGTACGTACATTTCAGTCGAATTCCGCTTTCAACATACTTGTATACACAAATAAATATTTGCATCTCTTTCACTCCTTTTAAAAAGACAGTGACAAAGATGTTTTTACAAAAGTACTTATGACCTTAGTATTAGTAGAGCCATCAGATATATAAAATATAAAACAAAATTAATTTGAAATAACTTAAATAAGTCAAATATGAATTTCATTATTCTATTCCTTTAAAATGTCAAATTATTATCATTTTAAATTTACGAAAAAAACAATTTATATTTAATTTAATAAATATTTCAAATTATATTTATTAAACTGAATTCTTAATAGATTAATAATATTAGAATTAAAAAGATAAATAATATAATAATACAGCAAATACACAATGATAATAGTGATAAAATACCAAGATAAAGTATCAACATGAAATTAAAATAAAAATACTCATCACAAAAAGAAAACAAAATTAATAAGATTAAAAAAAAACCATTTGAAAAAAGAATCTTTTGTTTCTATTGTCAACTGAAAACAATCTACTTTAAAATATAAAATTAATAAAAAGATAAGATAATAACAAAGTAATTAAAACATACCTTGTACTTCTCTTTCGGGGCTCATTTTCAATGATTATTTACAATATTTTTGATGCGATGTTTTGCAAATGTACCACAGAGTGTATCCCGCCATTGCCTGTCAAACAAGATGGCCGCCGCGTCTGCGTACTATCGTTCTGGAATACGCGGGAATTATTGATCGAGAGCCCGGGAATGCCTAGCTCGGTGAACGTCTAGATATGTACCTAACTCTAACATATTATAGCAATTATATTGTCCTCACTCTTTGTTAGATATTTTTTTTAAATTATATCTTTGTATTTTTTTTTTCGTTTGTGGTTGAAATGGTACTGGTAAAAATGTGATAATAAGATTTTATATAAATATACACAATAGATAACTCCTGACTCTGCTTGTCCGGGTTTTTAATCCAAGATAACCTTGGAATTAGGGGAGAAAATAAACATTTGAACATAGTCTTTATCATTTATTTGAATAGGAACTAGATTTCTGTAACAATTTAAACATGTCATTTAAGTAATATTATATTTAAATTTTAAACAGCATTTTCAACAATCCAGTCAGTATATGACGACACAGCGGTATTTACTCCGGGCGTGGTCTTGTTAGCACATCCTTCACCCCACGCAACGATTCCAATCACAATATTTTCATAGAACACAGGGCTTCCAGAGTCCCCCCAGCAAGGACCTTTACCCCCAACATCAAGGATACCAGCACAGATCATGTTGGTGGTGACCACTCTAGGAGGGTCATTAGCTTCGTATCTCTCACGACACAGATCATTATTGATAGAGAACACGCTGACTTCTTGAAGAACTTCTGCCCGGTCGCCGGGGAACTGGAATATCAAATAAGTCTCGTTAGTTATATTTTTTTAATTATCACTCGCTTAAAACTAAGCCTCCGTGTACACAATACAACGTAAATCGTTAAAACTAATTTCATGTTTGACTCGTTAAATTCGGTCATCTTAAAAATCGCTGCGACTTTTCTCACTACGATCTTAATTAACAGGTTGCGAGCAACTGGCTTTGGCGATGACGGATTTTAAGTCGTTTAGCGTTTATCGCCAGATTTTAAAAATTTATAAAAACACTAGTTGTCGCCCGCGACTCCGTCCGCGCGGGATTAAAAATAGATGTTGACTCAGACCTACTCAATATGCTCACAAAATTTCATGAGAATCGGTCAAGCCGTTTCCTAGGAGTATGGAAACGAAAATTGTGACACGAGAATTTTATATATAAGATTTAAACAAAACCTAATTAGTAGCCTATGTGTTCTTCCAGACCGTGCTCTACATATATGCCAAATTTCAGCAAGATACATGCAACCGTTCTGGAGATACCTTGAAACAAACATTTATCCATCCATCTGTCTATACATTCGCATTTATAACATTAGTAAAAGTAAAATTGCATACATACCGCAGTCATTCCCCAACCTATATGAGTGATAGGTAAGTTATCAGGTGCGACAAACCCACTTGCCACTATAGTCGCTTGTTTGATAACATCAGTGTACTCCAATGGATTCTCTAGGAAAAGCAGAGTAGCATCTCCGTCGTAGTCGTTCAGACCCCAAGTCGGGTGATTGAAGATGATAGCAACTTGTCTGATGATTCCACCAACATTGCGATAAGAACTGCCAGCTCTAATGCGATAGCGTTGCTGAGATGTAGGACTGAAATTAATATATTATAAGAATATCCAGTTTCTAAAAAACTTCAAAAAGAAAGATTTCGCACACATCAAAGTTGATAAAACTCTTCTAGATTAGAAATAGAGAATAAGTAGATTAATGTTCAACAAGTTGTGTTAGTTACACTATTTATAACTTTTTTTTTTTAAATATTAGCAGATTTTTTTGTAAATTTACTAATATTTCTTTAACCATTCCAACTAAGCTCTAGGCTTGTGCTAGGATATGGTTTACGACAATAGTCGAATGGCGGGATTCGAACCCCCGACCTCGTGATCGGATATCCGTACCCTTAACCATTAGGCTATTGAACTCAAGAACGGCTTTACCGATATGCCTGAAAATTGGTGAGGAGTTAGCTTAGAGCCAGGAGACGGACATAGGATACTATTTATTTCGAATTTATCCCTTGAAGAGCTACTTTTTATTTAACTAACTAATATTATAAATGCGAATGTTTAGATGGATGTGATGTGGATGGATGGATGTTTGAAGATATCTCTAGAACGGCTGAACGGATCTCGATTAAATTTGGCATTGTCGCGGGCGGCAGCTAGTATTTAATAATAACCTTAAGAAGTTAGAACGTGCTGGTGGCGCACTAGGGGGACATAGAACATAACTTGAAGTTACCAAATAAAGATTAAGGATCACTTACCTGACATCAAAGCAATGAGCTGCTGATAGTATAGTTCGTCTTGTCAGCACACTGCCACCGCATATTTGAGAGAACACATTTACACCAATCAAATGTTCCACTTGTACAATAATTGGATACTTCTCAATGGTTGTGGGTTCACCACCAACAATTCTATTCACTTGGGCAGCAGAACACGCCACCGCTGTAATGAAAAAAATAATTAAAAATCTAATAAGCCATTGAAAAACAGTCATTAAAACATAAAGCAGTTTTAAATATGTAGAAAGAAATATATATAAAATGATAATGTACCAACCTGTGATATACACAATAAGGATAGACAACAGCGACATCTTTGCTGACAAAAAATAATTAATTGGTGACCACTTTTATATAAATTATTTTATCTATTAATCGATAATTTACAATTTATATCATGTTATAAATTTAGATAATTATAATTTTAATATCTTTTTTTTTAAGTTGTAAATATTTTAAGTCTTCCAAACTGATAGTTTCCTGTTCATGTTGATTACGTAATTGCACATGGAATTCTATGTTATTTGTACCACCATTCACCAAACAATTACGATACTGCAAAGAGTTTAAAATAAAAACTAAAAGTAAATTAAAATTTACTTTTACACTATGTCATGAAATAAATGTCGTTATTGAAGTTAAAACCCTTAACATAAACCTTCTGGCAGCACTGGCGTTAGAGTTTCGCGCTACACCGTAAGGGGCGCCACTGGTGTGTGAATTAGATAGTCTCACATACATATAAATGTATCGAAAGCAGTATTGGTTATACATGTTTAATAATAAAACTTATTCTTAAATAACCTCTTACATATCGTTAGAGTCTATAATATTAGTCATCGGCCGTCAAAAGGTTAACATACGTGTTTAACGGCAATGTTTAACGAAGTAGACAGGATAAATGATATATTTATATGTAAATTCATATGCCAATATACCACGAACAGTTCTTATATCTATCAATATGTAATTGTGTGAAACACTTTCTCATCGATCTACTCAACTCTATAGAATAGTTTACTAAGTAGTACCTTTGAAAAATCTTCAATTAATGGATAAAAATAAAAGTGTAACTGTATAAATGTAAAATTTATTCACTTAAAGTCTGCTCTATTGAACATATTTAACAATATATAGTATTGTATTAAAATAGGAACAATTAGACAGCAGTCTCCACGATCCAGTTGGTGTAGGAGCCGACAAAGGTGCTGACATCAGGGTAGGTTCCGTTGGCACATGTTGTGCCCCAAGACGAGAGACCGACGACGATATTAGTGTAGAGGAGGGGACCACCGGCGTCGCCGAAGCAGGTACCGTCACCAGCGCCGTCCAGGAAGCCGGCACAGATCATGTTGGAGGTGACGGTCTGAGGTCGCGGCCAGTTGAGGTAGCGGCGAGCGCACTCCGCGTTGTTGATCGTTCTTACGGTTACGTCAGTTAAGTATTCGGCACGTTCACCGAAGAACTGCGAGAAGGGAACACATAATTATGCATAATACAACATTACGAAGCAATATCCATATGTTTAAAATAGACACTAGAGACATGAAGTAAAGTGTGTTCACGTTCTGACTAGGGCCGGTTTTACTACGTGGTGCCGAGGAAATTTTTTTAAAAATAAGGAACCTTAGGGGGCGCCCCAGAAGTATCTTCGTATTCCACTCTATACGCGGCGCTTAAGGCGGTAGCTCCACCTCGCCCTACCCCTACACCACTACTGGTTCATCATCAACAAATACCAGTATTTGGCTGCCTCATTTTGTCTAACAGATGTAACTTATTATGAAGACTAAAATCGAGTTTCTAAAATATGATTGATCCAAAGCCTGTTTTAGATTTAACGTTTATAAGAGAATTCAATTTCTTAAAATACTTACTGAAGGTCTGCCCCAACCGGCGTGAACAACTTCAAGATTGTCGGGAATGGCAGCTCCCTGACCGATGATGGTGGCTTGGGCAATGCTATTGGAGTACACGAGAGGAGTCTCCAGCCTGACGACGGAGATATCACCATCGAAACCGTTTTGTCCGAAGGATGGATGGTTGATGATGCGCTCGACGTTATGGATGACGCCACCGGTGTTGCGGAAGGTACTGCCAGCCCTGATACGACGGGTCTGAGGAGGCGCGAGACTGGAAAGTATAATAGAAAGCCATCAATATCAATAGCCAACCCAGAAATCCTTAAAAGGGATCAATTTTCTACTTAAAAGCTTTTTTATACTTTGAAAAGCAAAATAACCTATGTGTTCTTTCAGACTATGTTCTACATCTATTCCAAACATCGAGATCCGTTAAGACGTTCTGGAGATACCTTTTAACAAACATATGGATATCCATCTAAACATTCGCTTTTATATTAGTAAGATTTTAAAAGTGAAAATATACGTATTTAATCAAATTTGTCTTTGAAAAAATAGATTTGTGAAAATACTTACGATTCCCTAAAGCAGGAAGCGGCGCTCACCACATATCTAGTGGTTAGAATGTTAGCGGCGCATCGCTGAGTCCAGATGGCGAATAACTTCCAATTCTCCACTTGAACAACGAAAGGATGCTTCTCGATGGACACAGGGTTGCCACCCACGATGCGGTTAGCTTCAGTGGCCGAACACCAAGCGGCTGCGAAAGACGTAATACAGGTGTTGGTACAAACATTCTCTTCCAAATTTAAAATTTAATCATGTGTGATGTTTCCGTAAGTAAATCAGAGTTATTTTAATAGGCCACATTTGACACATCAAAATCTAACAACGTAACTTTGTAGCGACGGCATAAAATGTTAGGCATAAATGGCTCTTTGAAAGTAGAACTAGACAATTGCTTTTCTTTTTAAAAACGATTACATGTAATATATATATTATGATCGTATCAATCGAACGTCGTTACAACATAGCGTCAGTAAACTCTTTTTCTTTTTTAAACACAAACGATGTAACAAAAAAAATCGAACACGGATATTTGAAAACAACTGAATTCGATTCATTAATCGATTCAATCTAATAATCGATTGATTCACTATAATCCAGATGTCCATTGTCGTCGTTGAACATCCCGATGTTCCCGTTGCTCGTTTACCCCTTATTTCATAAATAAAAAACTGACATATGTCAAATGTGACAAATTAAAGTGGCTGTGCTTACTAGTACTCTGTAATTGGTTGTATCACTTTTCTTAATGACTGTACATTATAAACTTACCCAAGAGAAGGACAGCCCAAGCCAAGCGTGCCATTGTGTTGCGTTCTACTAACTGGATGATGGTGAGGTGATATTGGTTACTTTTATATGATAACTGTTATCGGATATAAGAATTATAGGTCTTAACAGTTGTCTTCAAAAGCACTAATAAACGCAGTGAACGCTAAAAATAAATGATAATAGTAACCAAGTGTTGATTAATTTGCAAAAACAAATTTGGAAACATAACTAAAATTAAAATCTAATTCAAATATTTAAAAATATATTCAAACTAGTTGTTGCCCGCGACTCTTTCCGCGCGGAATTAAAAAAAATAATAAGTAGCTTGTGTGTTCTTCCAGATTATGTTCTATATGTATGCCAAATTTAATTGAGATCCGTTCAGTTGTTCTGGAGATACCGACAAACAAACATCCATCCATCGTAACATTCGCATTTATAATATTAGTAATATAAACAATATCAATTCATACCGGCTGATAGTGTCTTGCTAAAATTTGACATAGTTATAGAGCTTTGTCTGGAAGAACACAGAGGCTACTCTAATTGAGATATCACTCCGCGCGTTCGGAGTCGCGGGCAACAACTAGTATTAGAATAATCTAGAAACTGACCGTGTGTGCATTCAAATATAGAATCCTAAAATAATAAAACTTTATTTTATCTAATCACCTTCCACTGTTTTCTTCGAAGTTGTAAAATTATTCATCATTTTCAGTTTAGCGAAAGCCTTGATCTTTGAACATTGGTATCGTTATTGTTTTCATTCATTCATTTAATTTAAAAGTTTTTTTCCTTTGATACAATGGTACTATAATTTTCATTTTATTTAACTTTTACCTCCATGTATATATTTACAAAGAAATCATAATTATGCTATCCTTCCAGTTTATCTTCTCGAGGTTTTTGTCGTCCATATCCATCCGTTTTTCGTCATTTCAGTCTTCACTCCATTCTTAATGAAGTCATCTTTCACGTGATCTACGTAGTTCTTCCTCGGCCTATCTCTACCGGTGTATCCCTGTCTCTACTCTAACGCTACTCTAATAATTGTCCCTTTTATAAACTGCCTAAGAACTACAACATAAGAGTTTTTCACAGCTTATATTGCTTTGATTTCAAATATGTAAAATGTTGTGTGGTGTTTAGTTTTATCTTAAATAAAGCCTTCAGAGAGTGTACAGGAATTGAAAGCCACCCAACTGTTTCGCAGTGACAAGCTAGTTTTATCCGCTTTCCCGTTCTACCTTCCTTATATAAAACGGAAGGGAAGAGGAAGCGAATGTGACGAAGGAGGGAACGCATAGGAAGGGGATATATCCTTTTCTTGCGTGTCCCCTCGTCCGTCGATTGAAGGTAGGCAACGCATCTGCAACTGCGCACGTCTATGGGGAGCGATCGCTCCGCTATTTCGACGTATTCACGTGGCCCCTTGCTCGTTTGCTACCTTATGATATAAAAAAAATAATAGGGAAACAGAAAAAGAACTTTAACCTCGTTCATAACCTTTAATATTTGGAAGCCAACTATTTACTTATCTATTACCGCATTAAAGATATAATTAGGTTATTGATAAATTTATTCTTAACGATAACATACTAACACTGAAGTCGAAAGTTTTATTGAACTTGAGATATCAAGGAAATAGCTTTAGGGTTGTCACATTTGTTAAAATTAGATTATATGAGAAAATAAAACGACAACGGCTCTCAAAGATAGGTTACGTACTTGATTTTACAATACAATGCACCTTTATTTGTACAAGGTGGCAATTTAACAAAGTAAACATCTCGTCCACAATCAATTCTATTAGGGGCACAATATAAGTTCATTGTTACATAAAAAGGGCGGAAAGGTAGATAAGAAAGAGAAGAAGGAAAAAATGGCGAAATAATATGTTATCTTTCCGTAACTTTAGGTATAATTTCGTTAACATATTTTGATGTTTTTTAATGTTAAGTGGCAACCCTAACAATATAAAGATTAAAACTGTACATTGCTATTAAAATTAATACTTTCGTGATAGAGCTATGTAAAGGATGTGGCAGTTCGCTGGTGGTGGCTTATCACAAGATTACACTAAGAACTAGATAATATTTAGCCTTGATATCTGTATATATGCATCTATATACTTAATTCAACATAAAATCAAATAAAATCCAAACAATTTTAAACTGAATTCTTGTGTACAAATTAGTTGGTTATGGACAGCATCGTTGGTGTATTTGACCTTGACTTACTGAACTTACATTGGATTCTGACTCTTGGACCAGTGGACTAATGGGGTTAAAATTCACAGGGAGAACTTGCATCTGTCAACGAGCCATCGAGATGGTAAGTTACTTTCATTTGTTTAACAACTTCTCAGCCGTGATTTGCTTTTTTTTAAATTAAAAATATTTGTTAGGATCACATTAGTAGACTTTTACTGGTTATATACATTATAGTTTCTGTTTTGTTAAAGTTTTTTTTCATACGGTGACAAACGAGTTAGCGGCTACCCGAATAGCTCATAGATTCGCAATTGCAGATATGTTGCCAACCTTTAATCGACGGAGTTGAAAACTCATAACAAAATGATATATCCCTTCTCATACTTTCCCTGCTCGGGCAAAAAGTGGACTTAAATTAGGCTTCCGACACACTCATCAGACGAAGTATGGAATTGCTTCCACTTTACTCGTGACTCGTGTGTGGTCATAGTACTTTACCAGGCTAGGCCCATTCATGCAACAGATGATGTTGCTTGCTATCAATGTTATCAAGGAAAAAGAAGAGAATGAAAGTGATAATAAAAATTAATAAAGTTCCACAACATGCGTAAGGTGGTACGGTAGAATGTCGTGGTTATTTTTTAAATTGTAGAAAATTCCAGACTAGTGCTGATTTTTATAATACTTATTTGTTGCATAAGTAAATGTTTTTTCGACATTAATCTCTTTATCATGCGTATTTATTGCAGCTTTATATTGTCGATAATCTTTACAACTGCAATAAAATTAAATATTATATAGCCTATGCTACCCGGGGATAGTGTAGTTTCCCAAACAGAGCTTTTCTCTTTATAATATTACTTTAAAAAAGGATAGTTAGAGTATAGGATAGGAGCATAGTTAAGGGATGCAAAACAGATTTAACAAATAGTTATTTTTAATAAGAAATAATATATTATTAGAGAGTGGAGGATGCATCAAAAAATGTTCCTAAGCATTATTTTTTGAAAAATAAATATTTTACTACTAGCCCCCCTCTTCTCTTAATCATCGACTGGCGACGTTTTTTTTGGTAATCAAATCAAAAAAAAGATAACTTATATAGCATTAATATTTAAAACTTAATAAGTAGCCTATGTGTTCTTGCAGACTATGTTCTACATGTGTCCCAAATTTCATCAAAATCCGTTCCGTAGTGTCTTACAAACAAACATCCATCCATCCATCTAAAGTCTTGCATTTATAACATGACGTAAGATTATAATTTTGTTCATTTTTGGCAATCAACGAAACTTATTCTAAAGACATTCCTATTTTTTATTTCACTGCCCTCTAGTAGTGACTTGTGGGACTACATCGTTTTTTTTTAGTAACATTTGATTACAGATGGCGCTAAACATATTTTATAGTGGAACAATTTATGTAGTTTCATAAATTATCCGATAGAGGCCACTAAACTGGTAAATGTCGAAAACTAACAACTAACGAAGTCTTGGACAGTAGTGTTTAATCTTATCTTACTAACATTATAAATGCAAAAATTTTGATGGATGGATGGATGTTTGAGGTATCTCCGGAACGGATCTTGATGAAATTTGGCTAAAATGTAGAACATAGTTGGAATAACACATATGCTACTTATTAAGCTTCTTTTACTCCGCGTAGACGCAGTCGCGGGTGACAAGTAGTATTGCATAAATATATTTAAATAAATATTTTATATGAACAATAATTGATTGTCGTCCAATGCTGTTTAATCAGATATTGCGTAGCTTTTAAAGCTTTGATAATTTTTATTTATTATACTTTACTGATAATTACGATGAGTAAAGATATTGACTCGGCTCACTTAATTACAAGCACATCGGCGTTATTTTCTTTTTGTATGATGTAAATTACTAATTGAATGTAAAATTCATACACATGTACCATTATCATGGGTCAGAAGGTAATTCAAAATAATTTAAATATTAAAGTAGCTTTTATTTTAATAACTAAACATATTATAAACTATTTCACACGGCGGTGTCACGAATCCAGTTAGTGTAAGGAGAAACGGCGGCGCTGACACCGGGGAAGGTGGCATTTGCACAGCCCTCGCCCCATGAGACGATGCCGACAATGATATCCCCAAAGTACAAAGGACCACCAGAGTCTCCTTGGCAAGCGTCACGGCCTCCGATGTCCAGGAGACCAGCACAGATCATGTTTGGTGTGACGATGTCCTGTCGCGGACTGTGTAAGTAGCGCTCCCGACAGAGGTCGTTGTTCACGGTATAGATTGTGGTGTCCAGAAGAACGCTTGATGCGGGACCTCCTTGCTGTGAATGAATTGGAAATGTTTGAAATATTGTCACAGAGCAGATGTTTTTGTGATGTTTCTGTTCATATCACATAGCTAACAGATTACTAATTATTGTTCGCCGTCTACTTACATTTCCTTTTACTCTAAGCTCGCATGTAAAAGGTCTCTCAATCTTTTCAAGACTAAGGATTGTTTTAAAAGATCTACGGTAATATAAATACAAAGTATACTAACCGAAGTGGCGCCCCATCCGGCGTGAACGACCGGCACATTGTCGGGCACTTGTGTGTCTGGAGCGACAATGGTCCCTTGCTGGACGACGGGTGAGTAGACCAGCGCTGTCAGCAGGCGCACCACGCTGATGTCACCGTCCATGCCCAACAAACCGTAACTTGGGTGATTGAACTCCCGTTCAACGTACACAATGGACCCACCAAAGTTCCTGTCTGCGGTACCAGCCCTGATGCGACGGCGGGTAGGCTCATACAGGCTGAAATCGACAAGTAATCCATTCAACCTTAAATATTCCTCGGAAGCCTCACATCAGATTAGTTTTAATAGCATTGAGATTCTTTTATTAGTAAGATGTCAGCGTTATCGATTATAAAATATTGTTTCTACTTACAATCCAGCAAAGCAATGTGCTGCGGACAAGACGTATCTGGAGGTGAGAATGTTGGCGCCGCATGTCTGCGACCAGGTGCCCGAGAAAACGCCCAGTCCGTCCACCTGCACGATGGAGGGATACCTCTCTATGGGCGCCGGCTGACCTCCCACGATACGACTGCCATTCGCCACCGCAATGCCTGAAAATATACATTGGTAATTATTAATGGATAAGACCTCACTACCCTGAGTTAATTGCTCGTGAAAGTGAGAGAGAGATCAGATACTATTCTATAAGTCTGCCTATTCTCACCTATAACAACGTTGTCAATGATCTAATCCCTCTTATGACGCATACGAGTTCAAAAATGTATCGTCGCCAAATTCTAGTTTGCCTTTCAGCCAGTCACGCTTATTGTTTTTATCTAATAATTTTGTATTGGAATATTGCAAAATCTTTGAGACAAAAGTGATAATGACTACCAATATATTTTGTATTTAATTACCTTTTATCGTTTAATCTACATCCTGCAATAAAATTGTAAGATAAAATGCAATAAAAGCAAATGTCGTGGAATGGGATTAAGATATCAAATTTTGAAGATATAGTCATGAAGTAAAACATTTTATATGTGATAAAATGTCGAAATGTAGTCTATGCATTAGACTTTAAGCATTTATGTGTAACTACTAACAGATAGGAGCGTCGGTGGCTCAGTGGTTAAGCAGTTGACTTGCAATCAGCAGGTCCTGGGTTCGAATCCCGCCATGTACCAATGTATTTTTCGATTTTCGATTTACATATGTACATTTATCCGACGTTCTTACGGCGAAGGAAAACATCGTGATGCAACCTGCACATATCTGAGAAGAAATTCAAAGATATGTGTGAAGTCAACCAACAACCCTCGGTGGGGACGTATAGTGAGTTGATGATGACTAACAGATTCGATAGTAAAAATAGAACCATGCACTTTTTTACTGCCTCTCTCATATCCTCATACTCCCTTACTTACTCACACTCAGAATCTTTAATTCTTCACTATGGGAATGCTTTAGTATAGATTTAATTCAATAAATTTGAACCAATATGTCACCGGATTGTCCAGAAAGAATCAGTAATTCATAAATTTCGGTGTTAGAACAAACGTTTAAAATTATCAATATATTTACAAGCGTAGAATAGTAACTTATTAAACGTCTAGATGGAACATTGGTCCATAGTTCAGAGTCTTCTCATTCAGATTATCTATGATCTAACAGTTCGTTGATGATGATAAGATTTTTAATTATATTTACCTGCGAGCAGCAACATGGACAAAGCCAAAGGAGACGCCATGGTGAACCTTCTGTAAACACGCTGGCAGCAAGATGGATTCTATTATCGATGCCCACAATTTATAGTGCAATTTATCAGAAATAATAAAACTACCGAATCGTTAATCCTATCTATAAATTAATTGTGATAATGATACCATTCCTGTGCTAAACTATGTTGGTAATCACAAAAAATATAAATATATAAAAAGAAACTAGTATGGGACTAGTAGTTGTAGACCTCAACAACATCTTTTGCACGAATGGCTGACTCGCCCGATACAATACCATGACCACACAGACGACAGATGTGAAGTAGAAGCAATTCCGCATTTCCTCTGACGAGGGTACGTGCCTTAGGCCTTATTTTATTCCCCTTTCCTCTCCCGAGGAGGGTACTGTAGTATATGCATAAATGTAGTGTTGTTTGTCTCGAGCGTACGCGTAATAAGTACGTGCCGGAGAGTGGGGGCGTTAGTCAATGTCAGACCTTTGGACCGGCAGCACGTATCGGTACGTGAACGAGCCAAATATAGCACACCGAATGCTACAGGGACGATTGAGGGTAGGCAACGCAGCTGTAATTGCAGATGTCGCTTTTTTGGGAAATCCAAGTGACCGCTAGCTCGTTTGATACCTTATCATGTAAAAAAAACGCAATCCAAACTCTTTTGATATGTTTCAAAAAACCTGCTATAACTATGGCGAATCTTTGGATTAGAATATTTACGCAATTAACTATTTTATGATTAACAGTGATATTTATGTCATGTGACCTACCTATCATATAAGTCAGTACCTAACGAAAGTTTCCTTTAAAATTTAGGATATTCAATAAAGAGAGTAAAGGATGAAATGAAAAATACTATTTAATTGGATCCAGGTGGCCAAAAAATCTAAAGTGCAATCTTTTATTTAACCAAAAATTCATAACGATTTAAATCGCTGTCGCCACAATCCAATCCGTGTATGATGCAACTGCAGCGACAACTCCTGGGAAGGTATCGTTGGCGCATCCGATACCAAAGGAAATAGTACCAATAAGGATGTGCCCGTAGTACATCGGACCACCAGAGTCTCCATTGCAAGCGTCGCGACCACCGACATCCAGAATACCAGCACAAATCATGTTCTCGGTTACGACGAATGGGTAGGGACTTTCGTCATAGCGTTGAGCACACAATTCTCGGTTGATAGTAAAAACAGTTGTATCAAGCAGAACATCAGAAGTTGGTCCACCTTGCTGTAATAGAAAGAAAGACAATGACAGTCAAATCACGTTAATCATCAGAAGAATGAGTCTCTGAGTAAAGAAGTAAAATGAAAAGTAAAACATAGCGGCTTCAAACGCGAAGATGTTTTTAGTAGAGGAGTTAAAGTGCTAACCATAGTGTACTCTTAAGGTACGAATACAGCATTTATGTTTGTATATTGAAAGTAAGTCGAATAGTGTCATTGTGCTAACCCTTATAGCGCCCCATCCGGCATACACGACGGGCATGTTATCTGGTATTTGTGATCCCTGTGCGACGATAGTAGCCTGCTGGATTGTAGGGGAGTAGATCAGAGCGGACTGCAGCCGCACCACAGAGATGTCACCGTCTAAAGCCAGCTGACCGAAAGTAGGGTGGTTGTATACTCTCTCTACATATACTACCATGCCACCGACGTGCTTTTGTGCTGTTCCCGCCCTGATTCGGCGCATAGATGGATCGAATCCACTGGAAAAGTATTTTCATTATTTACTCTTAGAAAAAAATAGCAAAAATTAATATGTACAAAATTGCTAGCTATCTTAAACAGCAGGCGCCCGCGAATTCGAGAGCGCAGATTTTTAAATAAAGTAGCTTAGAGCTGCCTTTCGTTCCTAGTCTCGTCAAAATTGATCCAACCGCTCCGAAAATTAATCGAAATAAACATAGACAAACAGATTTAGGGACAAACAAATTTTTTTTTTTTCGTTTTGTATGTTACGAACAAATCTATACTTTTGTACATCATAATAACTTTGAAATGAAATCATTCATTGTAACATGTAGGAAACAATTCTGCATGAATATAGATTATGTTATTTTATATTATATAGCTATATTCTATATCCGTGCCAAATTTCATCGAGTTTCCTTGTGCCGTTCCGGAGATACCTTCTAACAAATGTCTATCCAACCATCCATCTACGTAAACATTCCCATTTATAATATTAGTAAGATAGGTGCCTCCCGTGACTCCGTCTGCGAAGGGTTAAAAAATAGATAGTAGACCTACTAAAATAAATATAAAATTTAATAAAAATCCGTTAAGCCGTTACCGAAATATATGGTAACTATCCTTGTGACACGAGAATCTTACTAATATAAAATGGAAAAGATGGATGGATGGATGTTTGTTAGAAGATATCTTCGTAACGACTCAGCGGATCTTGATAGAATTTGGCACAGATGTAGAACATAGTCTGGAAGAACACTTAGGCTACTTATAAAGTTTTTTTTTTAATTCCGCTCAGACAGAGTCGCGAGAGAACAGCTAGTTTTAAAAGATTTACCTTCCGTCGAAGCAATGTGCAGCGGAGAGTACATATCTGGTGGTGAGGATGTTGGCTGCACACCACTCTCCCCAGATGCCGCTGCTGAAAGCATTTACTTGTACGATGGAGGGATACCTCTCTATGGGCGCCGGCTGACCTCCAACGATACGATCGCTTTCTGTAGCTATCACAACGCCTGGGGAAAAAAACGTTTGTTTCATATCAAAAAATTATCATGTACCCTAAATTGAGGCTTTACTTGCTCTTAAGCTTAGAGTTAGATCTGCTTTACCTCGTCAAAGAAATATAATCTTACTAATATTATAAATGAAGTGAATGTTTGGATGTATGTTTATTAGAAGGTATCTCCAGAATTCTCGGATCTCTCTTAAATTTGCCATATACGTATGTAGAACATAGTCTGGAAGAACACATTGACTACTAATTAAGTTTTTTTTTTAAATTCAGACAGCTAGTTAGCCTAATTTAGTCCTCTTTCCCTTCCCACCCTTTTTCTTACAAAGAAAGGACAGGAAGTGGAAGTGGGCTTTTCGGATCAGAGGATGCATGGAAAGGGAAAATATTTTCTTTCCCCCCTCCTCCGTCGATTAAAGGTAGGCAGCGCATATGCAATTGCGTATGTCTATGGGCAACGGTCACTTCGCTATTTCAGCGATTTCAGATGGCCCCTCGCTCGTTTGCCACTTTATGATATAAAAACAAAATAATACCTGTGACTAACAATATGAAACAGAGAGCCTCAGCCGCCATTGTCAAGGTATTGTTGATTCCTGAAGATATTAGTTAACTTTCTAGTCGTAACTCACTATTTATAGTTAACCTTATTATCTATTCACAATAAACTTTAATCTACAAATTTATATATTATTTGATTAACCAATGATAAAATATTATGAGTAAAACTTCCTGTCTTACCTAATCTAAGTCCATGGAAATGCTACTTATTGTCAATACTACGCTACTTATTGTGGATTTCTGAGACCAAAAGCGCTATGAAAAACATATCGACATCTCTGTCAATATCTTTGACAAAAAAGAGAGAACGATATAATTAAAACAATTCGTTCTCAGAAACCGACGTCTATAAACATATAGCAGTTCCTGAAAGATTTTTTTTAAATCGTAAACAAAAAGGGTAAAACAACTATACAGATTAATTTCGATTCAATGGTAACTACAAATTTAAATAACTTTTGTATTGACAAAGACCTTTTTATTGCTTCTAAAGAAACTCACTGATTATCCAGAAATACTTGTTATTAAATCATAAGGTGGCAAACGATCGAGCGGCCACCTCAAATCGCTGAAATAGCCAACGGAGGAAGGTATGCACATTTCCCTTTCCATGCATCCTTTTCTTATTAGAAAGAGGGTGGGAAGGGAAATAGGACTAAAATTAGGCCTATCATAAAATACCTGCTAGTAGAAGTAAGAAAAGAGAATATTGAAGCGACGCCATTCTTGTCTCTGATTGTTTGATTGTAGCTTCCCCTGCAGCACGCCTCCGGAAATTGAAGTAAATTATTAAACTTGCTCATAATTTATATCTGTTATATACTTGCGTTGTGTTAACAATCTTTTAATATATCTAATCGCTAATCCTTTATGTTTATTGAATTATTAATTGTCCTCGCTAAGGCGTAAAAACCGTAAAAAAAATTAGGCGATGTAAGTTCTCCTCCTGGAAACTTTCCAATTTATTACCCGATTTCCGATATACATTTTAATCAGCGATTAATCAATGAAGATAGGAGAAAATCAAATTTTCGTTGGAAAAATACTATAGTAAGTTATTATACTATAACAAGACGTAGGCTATTCGTAAACAAGGCAACGTCAAAATTAGTATTGCATGACTGCGTCTTTAGAATCGCAATACGCGCGATCCGAAATGTTAGGAAGAAAATCCGACAGTGTGCTGATATACTGGCGCAACACTAGCTGGCCTTACTAAAATGTCGACGGTTATATCCCCTCACTAATAATTCTGAAACTTGACTTTGTAATGAAAGAGCGCCATTTGCGCCAAAGGATAATAACTATAATGTCTGAAACTACACACAACTTTGAGTCGTCGAAACGCGTCCTCTCTTTTGTCAGTACAGGCATAGCGACTAGATGTCAACTGTATAAATTTGCTCCACCATCTTGAAAATCAGAAACACAAACATTGGGCCTAACTTAGTAACAATCGCCTCCGTGTCGTCATCGTTAATTATTTTAAAATGAATATGAGATTTAAACTTATATAAAAACGAGATGTATTAGTATGAGATTTGTTTACGCCCGACAGGGGCGATACGATGGCGATTAAATAAATATTCGTGCTAGGCCCACAGGTTGCGAGCTTTGGCAATAATGGATAGAAATGTATACAACGCGCGATATATACGAACCTCTATTAAATTCTACAGCGTAAATCGCTTAGCAACTATACTTTTCGGGTTTCGAAGATTCTCGTTGCCTTGTATACGAAAGACTTAATAATAATTATAGTTCCAATGAAGAAACTGGTCACTACCACTTTGCATATAAATATTCGGACATGTGGGTACAATAGAGATTTAATTAAAATGAAAGCATCTTTCATATATTTTATTAATCTTAAATACGCAATAATCTTTATATGGCAGTTGCCACGATCCAGTCAGTGTAAGCAGCGACAGCAGCGTTAACTCCCGGGAAGGTGGCGTTGGCACAGCCTTCGCCGAAGGAGACAATGCCCACGAGGATGTGGCCGTAGTACAACGGGCCACCGGAGTCCCCTTGGCAGGCATCCTTGCCTCCAACATCAAGAAGACCAGCGCAGATCATGTTCTCGGTGACAATGTCTTGGCGGGGAGAGTTCTTGTATCGTTCCGTGCACACCTGATTGTTGACCGTGTAAACTGTCGTGTCCAACAGGATATCGGAAGATGGACCATCTTCCTGTAGAATTATAAATAATATGGTTTATAATACATTCCAAACGAGCAATACCAAGTAGAACTATATGCCAAATTTCCCGTTTGATCTAACAAAAAGATAAATCCTCTGGATTTTAGGAAAAGTCTGAATGTACATACTTTACCTAAGGTTGCTTAATAGTTAGATAATCAACGGTGGTCGGATCAAATGATTAGATTACTTGTACTTCGTGTATTCCGTTTCACAAGAATACAACACATTGGAGAACTAAATTCTAATGAAGTACTAACCCACATAGCGCCCCATCCAGCGTATACTGTGGGAGCATTGTCCGGTACTTGTGAACCTTGGGCGATGATAGTGGCCTGCTGGATGACAGGGGAGTAGATCAGAGGTGATTGCAGCCGCACCACGGTGATGTCACCGTCCATACCCAAGAGACCGTAGCTGGGGTGATTGAACTCCGTTTCCACGTAAACTACCATGCCTCCAACATGTTGCTCCGCTGTACCCGCCCTGATGCGCCGTCTAGAGGGCGCGTACATACTGGAAACATACTTTAATTAGTCGACAGATAATTTGTATACTAAGGTAAGTTATAGGTAGCAAGCCAGTGACTAGTCACCTGACTTAGAGTAGACTTGAGGTATAAGAGCTGATGATACTTACAATCCATGGAAGCAATGTGCAGCGGAAAGAATGTATCTGGTAGTAAGTATGTTCCCCGCACAGAATTCCACCCAAGCATTGCTGATGCTAAGAGCGTTTACTTGCACTATTGAAGGGTATCGTTCAATTGGCGCCGGCTGACCTCCTACGATACGATCGCTCTTTGCGAACACTGCAATGCCTAGAAACAAATGGGGTCATAATTTCAAATTTGAATTATATTTTTTAATTACATAAAACCATTGAAACTATTGGGCTGATTGTAAAAATTATTTTACAGTTTGAATGCTTTATTGTCCGTGAATAATAAAGACTAACTAACAAGACGCCCTAAGAGTAACCTTTATTTATTGTTATAGAATTAAAATAATAACTTGGTTAAAAAGCAAATTATCAAAATAAAAATAAAAATAAAATTTTTAAGCGCTCTCTTCTTTTATAATTATAATTAAAATTGAATAAAATATTAAAAAAACACTATTTATCTTACTAATATTATAAATGAGAATGTTTGGATGGATCTCGCCTAAATATCACATAGATGTAGAACAATTTGAAAGCAAACAGGGTAAATATTTTTTTTAATAGCGCGCGGACAAAGCCACGGACGACAGTTGGTTATAATTTAAATAAAGAAATACCTGCGAGTAATAACGCGAACAAAAAAACTTGAGGCGACGCCATTCTTGACTTCCGGCCACCTATCGGTAATGATTTTAATTGAAGTATAAATTGTCGCTGTCAATTTATATCTTTATTTTGCATTATCTGTTCTTAATCTATATCCTAATCTGTTTTACTTATTGTCGATTGATATAAATTTTGTTTAAAACCTCCAATAGTAATTTTTCTAAACGAAAAGATTGACACTTTAGTATCCGATTGTACACTAATTCTGGAACTATTATAGATAGGCTGTTGCCCGCGATTCCGTCCGCGCGAAATAAAAATAAAATAAATTAGGAGCTAATGTGTTCTTCCAGACTATGTTCTACATCTAAAACGAATTAAAGGTTAATAATAGCAGTGTACTTATTTAATAATTTAACTGTGGGTTTCTGAGACTACAATCCTCTGCTTTGTTAAATATAATGACAAGGATGGTGATATGTTTCATGTCGGTGAGAATGTCGTCATTATGATTAACGCTGGCTGTTTTTCTTTATGCTTTCCTGATGGAACAGTTGTGGAGTAAGTACGTGTTATCAAACAAAACATACTGCGTTCCTAACCCAATCAAAACAGGTGACCACACTCTGTGATGATTTCTACATCACTTGGCATTTACTGCAATATGACTGATCGTTAGAGTGCATTCCATCACATAAATAAGAATACATAGATGTTAAACTTATAGAGTGGTCAGTTCTGTTAATAGCAAAGGAGAACAATATTAGAGTTAACAATACTTTGTCTATGTCCATCATGTATTTCTAATCTTTTGTTGCATCAGATCAGAAACACACGTCTTTTTCATCTTTCAAAGATAGAGCATCAAAGGCAGCACTGCAAGCGCCCCTTTGTGTCCGAGTCTGACCCCCTTATGCCCGGCGCCATGGGCCGTCGCCCCTTCTCGCTTTACTTCTTCTGACCCTAGTTCGAACCTACTCTAGATAGTCGTGACAAAATATAGCAAAAAAATTGACCATCTCTGCAATATTTATTGCCTATGTGAGTCCAGGTCGGCGCCTAGCGTCAGTCTTATAAAATATCAGCTAATTACGTCCGTCGCGCACTGATCGCCCGTCAGCCGGGCCCCGCGAATTATTTATGTCTAGGCTAATAAGCCAGGTGACCGGCGCGTCACTCGTTAAATTAGATCCCGCGGTATGCTCGCGATGCGTTTGATCCGAAGCATACCTGCCGCATGCATATGCTCGCACGTGGGAGGATACTCCTCGCATACTTCAGTTTATAGTCTCTGCATGTCTGTATTTATATTACTAATTGTCTTGAATATTTTGTTGTCTTAAATGTCATTCATCTTTACTAAGTAACTAGACTTTTCATTATTCATTTTTGTGAGGTGTAAAAGCATAAGTAAAGTTCTTTTTTCAATTGTGTTAAAAACGATATATTCACATTTATATTTGTGATAATTTAATCATTAAAATTGATGCATCTCAATCTGCAATCATTAATTTATGGACAGTACACATCAGGCGAGCTCTCGACGGTAAAGTGGATTGTTGCCGGTCGTCAGGTGGCGCTGGCGCCGTCTGCTGACTGCACCGACATCGATCAATATGATGGCCGATTTATACACAGCTTACGAACGCATAAAGTACACAAATTGAATTGGCCGCACTCCCGCGTACATCGGATAACAAAAGTGGTTAATTCAAGCATGGCTCAACGGAGGAGCAATGGATCGAAAATTATAGATATTCACTTTTCTTAAGTTAGCAAGTCGTCACAAACTCCAAACATGGATCTTGGACCATATTCTTGATTTCGTCCCTTCTTATTATTCATCATCATCATCATCAGCTCACTATACGTCCCCACCGAGGAGCTCAGAACCTATCCTAAGTTAAGGGTCTTATAAGTGTCAGCATATTGAAAACTAAAAATTACACATTTTTTTTTAGTTTCAATAGAAAAAGCTCGTTAAAAACCTGAACTCCCTAAGCCCAACAACCCAGATCTTCCAATGATTTACAACATAAATGAGGACAGGAAAATAAAGTGCCTAGTTATGTACATTGTTTATTAGTCTTTCAATTGTTTTACTGTAAATCTTTTGCAATGCAGTATATATAGCAAAAAGCGTTGCGCACGCGCCGGCGCCTGCCAGTGCCACTTAGTATTAGAGTACTGTCACTGACAAAAGTGTTAACAATGATAAAGTGCACGATTTTATCTTTAAAAATTGATTGTTTTTAATCAAACAATTGTTTGAGAACCAAAAGGTGACTAAGTAACTAAGACATGCGCAAAGAAAAGAGTTATCATATAAAATATGTAACTCTTTTCGTGGCATCACTTGTGTGTGCGTCTGTACTGTAAGACGGTCACCGCAAGCGCCGCCGCATCACAAGTTTACGCCGTTTTACTTTACCATTGGTTCTGGGAAGCCAATCTTCATACATTGGATTATACTTACAAATAATAATTCAATCAGCTTGTTTTCCAAGTAATGTCTTAATTATATTAAACTATATCATTTAATGAGGACAGATAAGTCGTTAGATAAATTATTGTTTAGAATTAATTGTAATTTACGCTTCGGTATAAAAAAAAACATGTCCTATGTTTTAATGTTAATTTATTTATTTGTATTTAAACTAACTAATGGTTTCTGAAACTTAAATCTCAATAGAGTTAATAATGTATTTAAACTAGAATTTTGGTTTCAGAAACCTTATGAAAGTAAAATTCGATATTCATATTTAAGACAGGACAATGTCTGTCGAGTAAGCTAGTAGTATCTTATCAAACGGCCATATCTTAACTATTTCCGGAAGCTAAATACTAAAACAAAATGGTTTACCTAACTAATATTATAAATGCTGAATGTTTGGATGAATGGATGGATGGTTTGAAGGTCAAAACGACTGAACGGATCCACTGAAATTTGGCAAAGGTGTAGATGTAGAACATATTCTGGAAGAACACATAGGCTACTAATTAAGTTTTTTTTAATTCCACGCGGATGGAGTCACGGGCGACAGCTAGTTACGTATAAATCCTATAATAAAAGATTATCTACTTATTATTTGATAGTTCCTTATTTAAATCGGACTATAGAAAGATAAATGATATTACCGTATTCCGTGAATAGACTAGCAACTGTTATCAATATCATACCACTGTTCGCATAAAAAGCTTACTAAAATAAACTGCACTTAACAAAAGAAGGGATAGAAATTATTATTGCGCAGTGTTCATTTACTCTGTTAAAATTTGGTGGCTTATGCCCAGTTTACATTTATCCAGTCCGGAGATCGGCATACCTTCCAGTGTGTTTTTTATCCCGTAATTAATTGTTGGATTTGATCGCTGCACTGGAATAATGTAAACAGATTATACGACTAATATTTAAAATAGGAAATATTTCATTGTTTCTTTGTAATGAATAGGCTCCGCGACTACTTAAGCGGTTTGTAAAATTCTACACTATCCCTGGATTACATAGGTTGTTTTTTTTTAATTGCGTGCAGACGAAGTTCATTTAACTGTTAGAAAGATGACATTTAAAATGTACGATCTTTTAACTATAAATTAATTACTAAATCCTTCGATTAATTAATTGAATTAAAAGTAAAGTAAGATCATCAATTTACACGTTGTAACGGTAAATTTAATTATTTCAAGAATGTAAGCAGAGTCTAAATTGGCGGACGTTCATCGCATACCGTGCGGTATGCGTCTAGCGGGTAGACGTGTAAACCAACCTTTAATTCACCTAATGGGTGTTATAATTAGAAACAAACATCCCGGACATGTGTAAAATATGTACATTACTCGTTTATTCTTAAATACTTATGATGTATGTATAGGAATACTTTGGAAATATTATTAGAGGTAAAAATATTAAAGTTCATTTAGACGTAATACCAAATCGTACGAAAAACGCTCGTCAATTGCTTCAGAGTGAGACAAACGTATTATACGGTATGTCTCGCTCTAAAGTGACTGCTTAGCGTTTTACGAACGATTCCGGATTGCGTCTATACCTTTAGTTTCTAGAAAATAGGAATTTATTCATAGTAACTACATCACTAATTATTTATTGTAAAGGATGTTTTATTTTGAAGGAAAAGTTGTATTATTAAAATAATGATATTTATTCTGATAGAAAACATCACTTTAAGCTGCTATCGATTAACAGTCAGACTATTCAGTTAAAACTGCACAGTTTGCAGGTAAAACTAAAGCCTGCTTTATAGTAACTAGCATATAGTGTTAGGAAGAAAATTCGAAAATATGCCAGTCTATTGACTCAACACTAGCCTAACTAAAATGTCGAAGTTTATGTCCCTTCGCTATTCATTCTGACACTGGACTTAGTATCGAAAGCACGTCATTCGCGCCAAATGTTTCTAACTAATACTGTATAAACATAGGTATATACAAAGGATATAAGCAACGATTTGTTTGATTAAAATTATGTTCCGACATAATAATACTTGTAGCTTATAGTTAATTGATTAATTTCACATGAAACGTCGTATAATTATGATAAAATTAATATATTTTCACGACAAATATAATACAATTAAGATAAGTAAAGTGTTAAGTCACACAACACTGATACTTTATATTCATTGATTTCCTAGAAGTTATAACGTGATGTTTATTCATTCATTTCCCAACATAGGAATTATTCGTTTCAAATGTTTCGGCTTCCCAAGGTCATTGGCGCGCTGCGTGTTTAAAATTCTGTTCTGCGCAGCGACTCACAAGGTGCCAGCGGTAGTTGAAAGCGCAACTACGATGTGAACTGACTATGGCCTAGTCACCTCTAGGCTCTGATATCGACGACTATACGTTGGCAAAGGACATTTACAGGAAAAGTAAATATCTTGTTTTCTGCCTTAACTTTCCTTCAAGTATTAATAAGGTATTTGCAACGCATTAACTTGTTTTTTTTTAACAGAAGGGGGCAAACGAACAGCGGGAACACCGAGGTGTTCTACGACGCCCATGGATAACTTGTTGAAGAAGCGTAGCGAGAAAATATATACGCAACCGCAGTATAGATAAACACACACGACTCCGATAAACTGAAATAGGCATAGT